TACAGTTGCATGACCATTGAATTAAAGTAGGACAAATTTGTAATCAAAGAAATAATTAAGGGTAGAAAGGTAATTTACCATCATGGATTTTAATCCATCACCCAAATTCCACCTCAAGAGGTGGAACTTCCAAGTCCGTGGGGTCCACGGATTTGGAACCCCAAAAGTGGTGGGCCCCACAAATTCCATCTCCCTAATTCCCTAAGGCAAACGATGAATTTCGGTTCAAGTCCATGATGGATATATTTCCATGACCAAATCCATGACCAAAACCCTCAAGCAAACGACAAAATTCACCTGCATAGTTACAATTATCAAAGTTCTGACAATAATAACCAATTTTTGAGAAATACACTAAATAGTTAGATTTTGGATGGTTGGTTGACAAATCTAACAATTTTTGTTTAAAATTTTAACGGTGTTAAAGATCTCGTCAGTTAGATTAACGTTACGCTAATTTGGATGCCATCTCAACTTAAACGTCAACTCCAACTACACATATCATATCACCTGGAGTCATGTCATATTTTTATTTAAAAACAATCTCATAAATCCCTTCCATACGGGGGATAAGGTTATTTTCGGGCAGGTGAGTTTCGGGAGGTTGTATTAGTGGTGGGTCAGGTGTGGAGAGGATGGAGTTTGAAGAGATGGGCCAGCAGAGGAAGGGAGAGGAGAATAGGTAGGCGGGCTTGTGGATTGGAGAATGAAGGTGGTATCGTGAATAGGGACGGACTGTGGTATAGTGGGTGGGCTTGGTAATAATGGTGGGCTGGGTAATGGAATTGGGTGGTCAAGAAATAGTGCGGGGAATTGAGTCAAATGCTGAGGATTGTGGATCATAGAAGGAGAAGGTATGTTCATCAAACAATATATGACGACTCACATAAATGCGGTCGGAGGACTGATCAAAACATGAGTAACCTTATTGCAATTTACTGTAACCCATAAAGACATACGAAATAGAACGAGGTAGTAGTTTATGAGAGGTGCGAGGACGAAGCCACGGATAGTACAAACAACCAAAATCATGAAGATTGAGAATGCCATGCGATTGTTTGAATAAGATATCGAATATATTTTTTTTTTTAAGAAGGGGAGTAGGAGTAGGATTAATAAGATAGAAAGACGTGTCAAAGGCGACATGCCAATATTTGATGGGAACTTGAGCATGATGTAACATGGCAAGACCATTGTTGACTATATGGCGATGTTTTCGTTCAGCATAACCATTTTATTCAGGAGTATAGAAACACGAAAACCGCTAAACAATACAATTTGTCGTAAGATAAGAAGTTAAAGCTTGGTATTCACCTCCCCAATCGGATTGGAAATTTTGATGGGAAGGCCGAAGAATTTTTCAACCAGTTGACATAATTGAACAAACACACTCAGAAGCTGGGATTTATATTGAATAAAATATATCTAGCTAAACTTACTGTAACGATCATAGAGTAAAACATAATACGATTGATGATCATATAAAGAACAAGACCAGGGCCCCAAAGATCACGACATATAAGTTCTATGGGTGCATATGCACGATATGATGAAGAAGGGAATAAAATTTTATGAATTTTGCTAATGGAACAACCATGACATAAATAAGTAGAATGATTATTGTACTTTATTTGATGACTAGATAGTAGATGCTACACAGAACGAAGATTGGTGCGACCAAGACGCTAATGCCAAAGGTCGGAGGAGGTCGATCTTCGTGCTTCGTGTGGTGGTTCTTGATTACAAAATATGAGTAAAAAATTCAATTATAATGAGATTAGAACGTGTAAGGGAGCTCACCGAAAGAAGATTATGAAGATAATTTTGAAAACGATGAATATTATGGAGTGAAAGAGAATAATCAGAAACAAAAGCATGAGCAGAGCCAAAATGAGAGATTGAGAGGGTTTTACCATTGTCAAAGGTGACTTGGGCCAAATTATCGAAATCCGATGTCAAGTGATGATTAGCACTGAAATTCATTAACTATTGTTGAGAGGAGTGGGTTGAATGAGAAGCTTGGATTAGGTGAGAGGTTGGGCCAGGTGTATAATTGGGCTTGTATTGAGAAAATGGACTAGGACAATTGGGTTGAATATGCCCTCTTCCTCCACAATTGTGACAAATAATAGATTTTGGGCTGGAAGGCCCACCACCAAGTAAACCTGTAAACACGGGCTGAAATAATTGGGTCGATACAAGCCTTGTGTGGTGCGGCCATTAAATCGGCCACCCCTTCCACGAGAGTGGCGACTGATAGAGTGTATTGACTTAGTCTACCCATTATGTATTCTGTTCCTTAGTTTTTGCTACTTAGTCACTCTCACTTTCTTAGAAATAGGCATAACATTATAATCTCCTACTGTATATATACTCAAGATCAATAATATACTAGATGGGTTTTGCATTTCATTTACATGGTATCAGAGCCCCAAAGCCTCACGGCAGCTTATGATCCTATTTTCCATTTCCCCCCTCCCCTTCCTGTTCTTCCTCGCCGTTCATTGTTCCAACATAGGGCTATTCCCCTTCCCCTTACTCTCTCTTCTTCTAGGATCGTATCACTATTGTTGATATCATCAGAATATGCACCCACTTATCTCATATGCTGCAGCCATTCTGATGGCGGCTTGCTTCTTCTACTTCTTCCCTCTAGTATCTTCCCTCTTTTCTTCTTCTTCGCCAATTACTCCACCTAAGAGAACCCCATAAACACCTTTCCTATTATCTTCTTTCTCCCCTTCTCTGACTTCCCCTCTCTCTCCTCCACTTGAGTCAAACTTTTCATTTCTCTTGCTGCAAGACAGCTCATGCTATAGATACATATAATTGATTTGGAGGCTTGTGCCTATCATCTATCTCTCTCTACTTCTTCTCTCTTCTTCTTCCCCGAACCTCTCCTGCCACAATCTGTTCTTGAAACTTCTTTGCTTTCTAAACCCCTCTTGCATCCCCTTCTTTAAGATCCAACATTTCCCACTCCATTCTTTATCATAATCTTCTCTTTCTACTGCTACGGTTTCCCTTCCATTCTATTTCCTTATCACCACCATATAAAACAATATCTCCCTAACGATATAAAGGGCTTTTGCCATACCAAGTCCTTTGCCCCGACATTGACTGATATATTACAATGTTCATATGCAATTGCATCCAGCAAAGTGCATCCACATGTTCTGCACGTTCAGAATCCCGCCTCCAGACTCATCCAGTGACCAAGGATCGCCAAGAAGCAATTTCAAGTTCATTACCTATCGGCATTGGAACAACTTGCAGATGTCCTCACCAAATCATTGGCTCGACTCCTCTTTCACCAATTCTGTTCCAAGTTTCACCTCTCCGAGGTTTCACTTGCGGGGGCGTAATATTAGTGTATTGACTTAGTCTACCCATTATATATTTTGTTTCTTAGTTTTAGCTACTTAGTTACTCTCACTTCCTTATAAATAGGCAGAACGTTATAATCTCCTGCTGTATATATACTCAAAGATCAATAATATACTACATGGATTTTGCATTTCATTTACAGCGACCACCACCTCCTCCTCGCTGCCACCACCAGAGTAAAAGGCGTGCAGATTGAAAGCGCCACCGACGGCGAACTGAAAACGGCGCAGGTGCAGTTGCTCACTAATCAGGAGACTGGTCAGGTCTTTGAAAGAGACAGGCCCGAGCTTGGATTCCAGATTGCGAGTGAACGGACGGTAATCTTCATCTAACCCATCAATGACGGCTGTAACCAGTTCTGCCTCTGTGATCGATGCGCCCAACGCCACCGTCTTATCAAAGATCGTGAGCTGAGTCAATGCCGCGTTGTATATGATTCAATTGCCGCCAAAGTTGTCCGATGATCACTAGAGATCCAGAGGCGTAGACACGAGCCAACGTGTCCCAAGCAGCCCGAGCGGTAGGCTTGTTGATGATATGCGGCATGACCGCGCTTCAGAGAGAGTGATTGATTCATGTGAGGACACTAACTGTTCACGCTCGTAGCAGTCTACATAAACAGGATTGGGCTGGTCAGCAATAGTCGGAGGTGGAACAGGGGAAGAACCACCGACATGGCCGATCAGACGATGACACTGGAGCAGAGATTGAAGTTTAGTGCGCCCCAACAGATAGTTGGAGGGTGTCAATTTGAAGAAGAAGAAGAAGAAGAAGAAGAAGAAGAAGAAGAAGAAAAAGGAGAGGCGTTTTATCAAAGACGAAAGAGGTATGTAACTGAACTCGTTAGAGTCTATTTGGCTACAATACCATGTAGGTGAAGAGAGAATCGTATCTTCTAAGGGTGCGTTTGGATAAGTGGATTTTAAATGTAAGGTATTTGAAATACTAGCATTTGAAATGGATGTATTCGAAATATTAGCATTTGAAATACATGTAATTCAAATTCATTGTTTGGATACTCATTTGTAATTTGTTTGTATTTTGTATTTTATAATTTTCAATTTCAATTTTTAATTTTCTGGTCACTTACTAGAAATTTTGGTAAATTACAGTTTGGTACCCAAAATTATTTTTTCATACAATTTAGTACCTAAACTTTTAAATTTTTACAAAAAGGTCCTGAAATTTTGATGGTAAAATTACATTTTGGTACCTTTATATGTTTTGCCTCACACTATAGTACCTAAACTTTTCATATTTTACAAATAGGTCCATTCTTTTGTTAGGAGGTATTTCAAATCACTAGTTGTTGAAATGTATTTGAAGTTGACAAAAAATACACTAGACATGTATTTGGAAATCACCCCATGAATTTGACACAAATCCAAATACCGAATGTAATTAATATCCAAACACATGATTTGGTATTTGGAAATCCAAATCACAAATACCAAATCCAAATCATTGTATCCAAACGCACCCTAATTGGTTTTTATACAGCAGAATTCTATGCAATGCAACTACTAGCTGGAATTGAGGAACATAATTGACTAGTGTAAACGGAACAACAAAAATGGGTGGACTGAGTATATATATGAAGGCTCACAATTCGCTTAGAGTTTGTGCAGAATTGGTGTAAGTTTTGAGGCACAAACAAGAGTATGAAAATTTGAAAGATCCTCCAAACGGTAGTGGAGTTGCAGGTTACTTCGTAGGAGTTTCACAAAGACTTTAACTTCGACGGGAGTTGTGGAAGAGGAAGCAATGGCTTGTATGATCCTAGATATTCCTGCGTTTTGCAACAAGGTCACATGATGTGATGTGTATCGTCCATTTGGCATTGTGAACTGCATTTGAAAGCGGTAAGGTCGATCGGGTTATGCATTTTCTTGAACATATATAAACAAAGAAAGTCATGATGAATGAAATTTCACCTGAAAAAGAGCGAAGGATGAACACACTTTCAATATAGGGCAAGCACTTCCTAGCATCGCAACAAATCGCTTCATCTCTACCTCGCTGCAGAAGGATATAGGAACAGCTAGATTTCAGCAGAATGAAACTACCAAGTTAACGTAAACTCGCAGTATGTGCAATATCATTGTACCTGCATTTCAGAAACCCAACTTCTGGTATCAAACACCCTTCCATCCTTTGTGCAAGAGCTGCAGATGAGGCTTCTGCCAGCATTGCAGTATCACAAATGTGATCGCTACAGAATGAGAGGACAAAGGATCCAATGTGGTTCAAGGCTATCATCTTAATGCGATCTGCGATCATGGTGTTGAATGGATCTTGTGTTATTCCTCTTTCTGCGACATATTCATCCATTCTGCATCCAACATATATATGTTATTGTATCGCGACTACTGAACTTGTGAGGAACTCAAGTAGCAAGCAGGAAATTAAGAAAAAAAATGTTAATTAGCTTGGTTCGTATAGAGATACCTTCCGTCGAACAAGTAAGCTAGTGCCAGTGTAGCCATGAACCGAGCCATTCTGGAAGGCGAGCTGGAACAGAGATGGATAAGAGACGAAACCCCTCCATCTTGCAGTATGCGAAGAGCATTCCCAGGCTCGAAAGCTATGTTCCAAAGGGCACCAGCTGCAGTCTCATGGACATCCTGAATATACAACAATGAAATCAATTTTTTTCTGCAAGCTTATATATATACCATTGAAGTGAATGAAAGATGGATAAAAATGTGACCTACTTCTATATCGGAGCATGCCAACCCGATAAGTGGAGGTACGCCACCATATTCTCCGATTGCAACGCTGTACATGTTATCAACCACCGTGAATTTGCAGTACTACTACTTGTACAAGGTATGCAGATCCTAGCTAGCTAGTATGTACCTATTAGCTTCGGATACTGATAATCCCCAGAGAGCACCTGCTGCGCGTTCTTGAAGATCGCCTTGATGAGAGGAATTCGAACAAGATTTTGCCAGGGAAATCTACACAGCAACGTACAAATCAATTAAATTGTGATAACCACATTAACACTAAATGTGAATGAAAAAACTAGAAAGGAAGGTATAAGGTGTAAAAATAGGGTTAAGATGCATGAATTGTCTTACAAGGGCAACGATGCCGCCTGCTGCTGCAATTGCTTCTCGGTTTCTTTCGTCAAATGATAGATTCCATAAAGCGCCAGCAGCTTCCAACCTATATGTGCATGAATCACAATGAAAAGATTGGAACAAGAAGACTTTCGGAAAATTCCTCTTTATCAAAATACCTCATTCAAAATATTGGTCTTTACATATGTTGATTAATGAGTTCAAAGGTTATTTTGAATGGAAGAGAGAAGTAAACTATACCTTGCTCCTTCATGTTGAGAAAATGTGATTCTTACTAAGGCTTCAACTGCACCAACCTCTTCCCCAACAGCAAAGTTACTAGCATTAACATCTCCGTGAGAAACCAGATTCGCTAATGCTCGAGCAGCCTAATTAACAGAGAGCAATTACACAAATTTTGAAACTTTATATACATATATATATGTACGAAATTAAAAAGGCAAGTTCTAAACTGTTAATGAAAGAAAAAAGAACAAGGCACTAATTGTTGATTTGATATGGTTACAACTTGATTGCGTTTGGACAGGATCTATGGCATTTGGGATTTTAAATTCCAAATAATGATTCATTTGTTTGAATATTATTTATATGTGGTACTTGAATTTGTACTTAATAATACATTTAGGGAATTTTCAAAAACATATTTAGTATATAGGCAAAATACACTTGTATAGCCATAAGTTTCACGTTTGTGACAAATATAGCCATAACTATTCGAAAACCAAAAATAGCCAATTCCGTCCATCTCTTTAACGGTGTTACTTAACAATCTGACTGTACTGATGGAATATGCTGAGTTGGCGATTTATGGTCCCCACCAAGTCGATGTGGATTAAAAAAAAATTTTAAATATAAAAAATCATTATTTATCTCATAATTTAGATTAAAACCAAAAAAACAAAAAACAAAAAATTGCAACCTTATATGACACCCACCCACCGCCCGTCTTCCTCCTCTTGTACATCTTCCCCAATTCAAACTCTACCCTAACTTCCCCCACCCACTGCCGTCGCTCTCCCCTCTCCCTTTCTCGCTTATGCCTTCCCCCATTTATTCCCCCTTTATAAAAGACTACTCCGAATTCGGAGAGATCTAGGAAGCTACCGCTGCTACTTTTGCTCGCTCTCCCTGTCTGTGATATTCCATGGCCTTGGCTACCGCGACCAGCTCGGACTGCGGAAGCAGCTCATCAAAACAGCATCCAACCTCCGTTTGGCCCTCGCTGCCGTTCTCTCCTACTTCCATTCCTTTCACGATGTCGGCACGCCATCCACAAATTCGTCGACGAGGAGCTCGTTCTAGGCAACTAATATGCTTCCCCTGGATCCCCTGTTCTCACCTTCCTCACAGTGACGACTAATCTAAAACCAGATCCAAATACTCTTCTTGCACAACCTCGATTTCCCATTCCTTTGGCAGTGATGACAACTGCCACGGTAAGACCCAACCCAAGAAGATTAAGAAGAAGAAGAGCAAAAACCACAACCACGAATTTCACGGGCACGATGAAGATGGCGAAGATTGAGAATCAGTCTCCGCAACTGGTGGAGACGGCGAGGGAGCAGAGAGTGGGGCGGTAGGTGGAGGAGAGGTACAAGATTAGGGATTTAGGGGATGGAGAGGTGGTTGGGAGAGGAGAGGGAAAGGAGGAGGAAGAGGAAGCGAAGAGAGAGACGATTGGAGGAGGAGAGGGAATGGGATTTGGGCAGAAGATTGGTGCAGGGGGAGGAGAGCTAGAAAAAATATTTTGTATTTTTTTTATAATTTCAAAATTAATTAATATTGTAATTCAAAATGACATGGCAATGATTTGATGACTGGTTGCTGACGTGTCCGACGATTTGGCATCCTAGTCAGCCTAACGTTAATCTAGCTGACGGAGTTTCTAACACTGTTAAAGTTTCTAACGGATTTGGCTAGATTTGTCACACTACCCTCTGTTTTTTTGGCTATTTTTGGTTTTCGAATAGTTATGGCTATATTTGTCACAAATGTGAAACTTATGGCTATACAGATGTATTTTGCCTAGTATATATTATAACTTTGAAATTGTAAAAACATATAAGTAGTGATTTGAAATTAGAAAAGACGTGTGTGTGTAACAATGTAATAGCTCATGTACCATAAAGCAAGGAAAGTTTTATACAGGTACTAAAATGCAATTCAAACACAAAAACCATTCTAAAAATATTAGACCTTAGGTACTAAAGTATAAGAAAACATAAATTCAGGCAGTAAAATGTAATTTCTAGAAAACTGTGATATTTGTTCGAGAAATTAAAAACTGATAAAATCCAAAATAACTATAAAAAAAGGTAAATGAATAACGAAACAAATAGATGTTTTAATTACATGTCTTTCGAAATGCAACTAATTTCAAATTCATTCATTTTCATTACATATCCAGAAATAGGGAGAGCTGCTGCAAATATAGACGATGCATGATGTAACACCAAAGTCACCTGTTCTTGTACTCCAACGTATTCCGAGAATCCGGCAAGCAGAGTAAGAGCGCGCACACCACCCGCAGCCATCACTTCAAAGTTGCATTTTTCATCAGTAACTAGATTTGCTACAGTTCCTGCTGCACGCTCCTACATGTCAATGATTCACATATATATAAATAACCCACTCACATCTTTCATTTCACATACTGCAAAATTAGTCATAAAGAAAAGTTTGATGCATATAAACATACAAGAATTCCATGACTGCTGGGTGGCCATTGGAAGATGAGGTCAACTAAAGCTTTTGTACCACCAGTCTCAGAAATCAAACCCTGAAAAACCAACTTATATAGTCAACGATTTCCATCGACATAATCATAAATGTATGTATTTGTAATTTGATTATAGTTTTGCTGACCTTAAGCTCTTCACCCAGAGAAAGGTTCCACAGCCCTCCAAGAGCCTCTTCCACTACGAATCTGTTACTTGATCTCATCAAGTTGGACAAGATTGTGATCCCTCCATTCTCTGCCACCACTTTGGCAACTTGGGAATCCATGCACAAGTTTGCTATAGCCTGTGACAAGAAGAAGAACAGCACATTAGAACAAACAACTGAATTATAATAACAATTTTAAGTTTCCACATTTTGACGCTTCCAATTGATGATAAGCGCGCTTGTTAACAAACTATCGCGCGCAGCGTTACCTTCAAGGCTTCGATTTGAAGCCCCTGTCGAATACTAGTTGTTGCAAAGCTCAGCAGCACATCCACCCCGCCGCTCTGCATAATCCTTCTAGCCCTCGTAGAATCAACGGTACTAGTAGCAGCTGGGTGGTCATCATCATCAACAATAACGAAAGTGGCGATGGCAGTGGCCGCTCGTTCCCGGACATCGACTTCCGAGCTTCGTAGCAGATGCAGCAACAGAGTCGCTCCTGTCCTGTCCCAGAACGGGTCGACGACCTTGGTCCCCGTCAGGTTGTTCTCCGCCATACGCACAAGTGACTGAGACAGAGCCCGCTCCGTCCAAGCAACGAATCCGCTCATTCTTCCGTCATCATCTTTATTAGCATTATGCTTCATTTTCTCCATATAGTAATTGACAGCAGTACTGCCTTGCTCTTCTAACTCCGGGCAATCCAACGTGATCGCGATTTGTAACTTGTCTGACAAGGAAAGCCATGATGATCTGGTACTAGAATCAAATGCTATATCTGTTCTCGATACGTCTAACCCCACCAAATTCGGCAATCTCCTCCAATGCTGAAATGCCAGCCCCCAATTCAATCGTTTCGCCCCAGCCACTGACAGAAACCTCAAAGACGCGAGGTTGCCCAATGCGAATTCGTCTATATCGTTGGAGTCCATGAATGCGACATCCTCCAACTTCACACAACGAGAAGCCAGGGAGTTGATTGCGTCGGCGGTGACCTCCCTGACGCCAGAGAGGTGGAGCCTTGTCAAGTTGGGGCAACAATGTGCTATGGCTTCGATCCCGTGGCTGCTCACTTTTTCGCACGCGAGCGGGCCGAACTGTATGCTCTGTAGCAATTTATGCCGAGCAGCTATGGCCGAAACTGTAGCATCAGTGATGCCCTGACAGAACTCGCCGCTGAGTTCGCGCAGGCTTTGCGCTCGAAGATGAACGATGGCGTCAGCTGATTCTACGCCTCGAAACTCGAGCTTTGAGAGGTGTTTGGTCCGTGAGGAAATGGAGTTGGCCATCGCGGTGTCGAACTTGTGGAAGCGTAGGTCCAGACTTCCCCAGAGGCAAGGGGACGAGCCTAGGCGTCTGAACGATTGGCAAGTTGCTGCGAAGCTTGCCCTGCTGCGGTAGTCTAGGATGGAAAAGATTTGGATGAGTATGTCGTCTGGCAGGGTTGTCGCCTCATCAATTGAGCACTCCGAAATCCTTCGCTTCACCCTTCGAGACATCTCTGTCAAGGAAATGAATTGAAGAAGCTCTCTCTAACTTTGTGAAGCTTGAGAAAATATACTCTGCATTGAATTAGTAGTAGCCAGAAGCTAATTAACCTTCCATTACAACTTGACAAGTAATAGTAGTAAACAAACCAAATCTCATAGCATAATGAATAAGAAGAGAACCTGGAAATGCTGGCCGGAGTCGGAAGAAAGCTAGATGGAAGAATTCACGGAAATGGAAAGCTTGGTGGTAATGTATGTATATATTAGTTGATCCTGTCCTGTCACGCCGCCCAAAATTTATTCTTTGCACAATTTTCTGCTGCTGCTTCTTCTTTCGTTCAAATTAACTTGCGATTTAAACAAAGGGGGAAACAATGCATGGCCTGAATAAAATAGAAAGAATGTTTCTGTTCTGCAAAGGAGTGATTATTGTTTGTGGGGAATCTGGAAATCGGCAGATAGAGCCCTATGGAGAAAAGGGTTAGGATGGCAGGCTTCAGAATCGTCGTCTGTGTACTTGGTCAGTTGTGCGGTCACGATACCTTTCTTCCACTCTATACTCATTTTGTTATTTACTGCCACAAGCATCCGTCTATCTTAAATCCCGGCCGGTCGGTCGGTCATGATGGTACGGGACGGCCACCTTATTAGATCCGATTACACTAACAATTATTTAACTCAATCTTTATTGTTACTGTCGGGCGGCTTCACAGGTTACTTTCCGGGCCGGGCATATTCGGCAAATCAGTGTATGCTGTTGCAGGGTCCAACCTTGTATGTAGTTTTGATGTGCATTGAATGTAGGATTTTTCTTACAAAAAGACAATCGATTATAACAAACAGGCAATTCTGAAAATAAAAAAACGACACGTAGTCGGGTATAAAGAGAGAGTCTTTCTAGCCATTGAATGGACTATCTTATTACTATTCCGACCTTCAAATCGCACATAAAGACCAGTATGAAGTGCAAACAACCGAACGACATCCTCAAGAACAGTCCCAAACCGATTGTCCCTTGTATCCGCCTTGTTAATTTTATCAATAATCACCTTAGCATCCCCAACAAAACAGACTTCCTAAAATCCTGATCCCATACACCAAAGAATGGTCTCTCGCAAGACTAACAACTCCACAACCATCGGGTCATCCACATCCGGAAATTGCAACCATCCTGCCAAGAGGAGGCCGCCAGCAGGGTCCATAATAATGATTCCCCCTCCCGAATGGGACCCACTCTTAGTTGCCCCATCCCACATGCAGATAACAGTGGTAGGAGGCCCGACTACCCCCAGATAGGGATGACAATTTTGACCTGACCCGTTTTACCCGACCTGTTTGGCCTGTTTTGGGGCGGTCGCGGGCATGGGTACTCTCATCGACCCGACCCGACCTGCCCTGACCTGCCCCATTCTCAACCCGTTCTTGCCTAAATTACATGTAATCTTAGTCAAATTACATAGAAATTTTCTTTTATTACATCAGAATTTAGCTATAATATAGTTGTAAATTAGTGAAAACCTCAATTTCTCTAATAATTTAACTACATTTATCATAATATTGTTTGTTCTCTTGGTCTTATAATAAAATAACGAATATTTCTAATGTTTTTCATGTAAAATGCATACCCATTGGGTCGACCTGCCCCGACCTGCGACCCATGATAAATTACCCGACCTGCCACAGGGTGGGTCTGGGTACCAAGAAACCCGCCCCGAACCTGCCCCATTGCCATTCCTACCCCAGAGGAGGAATTCAAACCCGCAGACTGGGGTCGGAAGGCAAACAGATCCACTCTTGGTACTGTTGATGGAACTGGCGCATTAAAAATGGAATCCCATATTCTTTACCCTCAAAGACAACCCAATTTCGGGATCTTCAAATACGCCAAAGAATCGCCACAACTGCCATGAACAAGTGAGGCTGCTGCACCACATTGAATTTAGGGTCCAACCCATGACAATGGTAATTAGTTCTGAGAGGATTCTATTTTCGTGGAGTACAGTCACTTTTTTGCAAAACGACCAAGTTAAAAACATTGGTGTGAATAACACATTTCTTTATGACTTTAAATGGGAGCTAAGTATGCTTTTTATGTTCCGTCAATTCATATATGATGTCAAACAGGTACCTCGTGTGTGATTTGAGAAGTTTCATACAAACTGATTTTTAGAGTCGGAGTGATCCCTCATTGTTTCTTTGAAACATTATGGCAAAATACACTTTCATAGCCATAACTATTCGCATTGTGACAAATATAGCCATTTTTTGAAAAATACACTCGTATAGCCACTTTTGAAAACTTGCCTGGCAAATTTAGCCATTTTCGTTTCAAACATAAACGGAAAGACAGACGCCGTCAGTAAACCTTCCGTGGCGCTGAGGTGGATACCACGCGGTTGCCACATCATCGCCAACTCGACTACAATTTGCCATTTCATTTTTACCTATTATTTTTACCTTATTTATTTTTACCTATTATCAATCCCACTCCTCCATTGTCGACCATTATCAATCCACCTTCCATTCTAGGTTTACGGAGGAAAATCCCATCCCCCCGCCGCTCTCTCTCTCTCTCTCTCTCTCTCTCTCTCTCTCTCTCTCTTGCTCTCTTACCCATCGCCTTCTCCTTATCTCCTTTCAATCGCCCTCACTTCTCCCTCTGGTTCCAGTCGACGATTTATCCATGTCGCGCAGGGTTGGGCGGAGAAACGTCGGCAGGGATTTTGCCGATTCTGGGTCAACGAACATCAAAAGTGAAGGTGTTGGTGCTGTCATTTGCAAGTGCAAAGTCCCTGCTTTGGTACAAACTTCTGGGACTGAGTTGAACCCAGGCAGACAATTTTATGGTTGCCCTAATTGGATGGTAAGCAAATCGTAGTTTCTATGAACTATTTTATGATGTATTGTGTCTTAGGATTTGTCAATGTTGCAGGATCCAAAAGGTGGGTGCAATTTTTTTCGTTGGGTGGAGTCAAGTTTTGATATATCAGAGGCACGAAACAATGATGTTGACGGTATGATGATGAAGTTGGAAGAAAGCTTAAGGCTGGCCGAATCATAGGCAGTGAGAATGAAGAAGGATAACAAACTGTTGGAGGAGGAGTTACGCAATTGGATGAAAATTGAGAAAGATCGAATAACTGAATCTCAGAATTTGTATCATGAATTGCGAGTGATTAGATATATGCTCAGTTTCTTCTTGGTTCCGAATGTCTTACTGATTATATTTCTGGGGAAGCAGTAAGTTTGTATCGATCGTATGTAATGTGCAAGTTGAAATTTAAAGCTGGTATGAAATGGGGTAAACAACCTATTTTCTTTACAAAAGATAGCATGGAACGATTGAACCTAACATAATCCTTGCAAAATATTGGGCTTCTACAATAGTCTGGAGAACACATTAACAAGCATCTTAGTGCCTGATTACATTCTGACATTAGTCTTGAACATCACCCTAAGATAGAGAGTTTCCTTCAGCTACACCTAGCAAACAAACCTAAAACTTAACATAAATTGTCTTAACCGAATTACATGAGTCGACAATTTATGTTGGGTTGGTGGCGGCTGGCTCCCTGGCAGATCCACCTCAGTATGTTGGGTTAGACGAGTTGGAGGTGGATTCCCAACATACCTTCCATTTGCCCCATTCAACTGCATTCAACAACTTTGTTAAATGTCATATTGGTGATGACACATGAAAAAATGGTGTAACTAAGAAAGAAAAAAATTACTCACCCTAACATATTGATTACCATTGGTCTCATCAACATAAACACCAATTCCTCTTGTTGCTTGACGAAGCTCCCTTTCAATCGTAATACGATCGCCAACATTCAACCTCACATCCTAGCAAACTCCTTCTCCTTCTCTGAACATTTCCTAATTCTCGGACACAGCTCATCAGTACTCCCATGCAACATATTATACTTGATCACCACTCTTTCCATCATATACCTCCTAATCCCTTCAAGCATGTCTATAATACGAAATCCTCTATACTTCACAATGCTGCCATTCTAGGTCTCACATATATTACTCGTGACACTATCACATTTAGGAATTGTAGACAAGAAAGCACGACAAAATCTGGTCGGATCAGTAGCCATAAAGTCCGTAAATGGCGTTGGTCCATCTCCATTACCTTGTATAGTCTCCATCTCTTGCGTAGCCTTCTTCCAGTCAGATTCGTTGCATGCATACACTGCCTTCCAGAACAATTTTTGAATCATGTCAGTCTTGTTCTTGGCTTTCCAGTTGGCATACACATGCCTAGCACATTTTCGATGCTCCGCTTCAGGTAGTATTGAGTGGAGTGCTTTAACCAGACCCTAGTGGAGTGAAATTGGATAAGTCTACAAACAATAAGAAACATTCAAATTAAAAACACATGAATGGTTACTATACCTTGTACTGGTCCGATATAACAGTCCACCCTCTACAATCCATTAAACCAAGTTCCTCAGTTAGAATATCCACGAACCATGTCCAAGAGTTGGTATTTTCCCCTTCCACAACCGCCCAGGAAATTGGGAACATCTGGTTGTTTCCATATTTACCCACTGCTGTGAGAAGCATACCTTTTACCTCCCCTTTAAGAAAACAGCCATCCAGACCAAACATAGGACGACAGCCCAAAAGGAATCCATCCTTCAAACAGGAAAAACCAACATATAAGCGCTTGAATAAGCACTTATCCTCATCTGGGTGCGGGTCAACTTCCAGCTGGAAACGACCATCCCTATCCCTCTTCTTCATATCACCAACATATCTCCTAATCAAGTTATACTCATCACTCAACGACCCACTTAATATCTTGATAGCCTCTACTTTAGCTCTGTAGCAAGTTCTCTTCTTCACCTCCATGTTGTGCTTTAACTTCACCTCAACCATAATCTGTTTCGGAGCCCACTCTAGGTTAATTCTGAATCTCTCTAACATATCCGAGGCTATCCACTTTGCTGTGACTTGGTTAACTGAGAGACGCCTTGCACATGAGTGTGACAGCCCCA